TGGTCACAATCAGGCAACATTCTTTAGAGTTTTTACTCCTTACTACTGCATGGAGGTTTAGAGGAAACCATGCAATAATGTTAAATCAGCTGATGGTATAGAAACATCGTCACAATTATTTAATATTATTTAGCTGACTGGCGAACGAAAAAGGCGAAGCTGAACGAAAAGCGACGATGAGTGTTGGTCAAGATAAATTTGCAATCAAAGTGCGCAGAGGGGAGTCGGTGTAGTTGGCCCAGTCACCCCAGGCAGAGCCTGTCAAGCCATCCTGGAAGAACCTTAGTTGGGAGTTGGGAGTTGGGAGTGACTGAGTGACTCTTCAAGAACCTACATGAATCTCATGGAAACGCTGTTGGTTCTCAAAATGGCGCCGGCATGCGTTTATCTTTTTCGCAGCCAACATGAAGTTTCGGTTTGCACCCCTTCAACGACGCGGTGTTCCCTTCGCTCCACCCGGATCTCTAGCCAGTCGTGCTGGTCAGACCAGTCGATGGGCGACTCCAAAGACAAAATATTATATCTCTTGGATCCGGAACTCTTGGTCCCTCCGATCATGCAGATCAATTGAGGAATTCCAAAATAACATATCTGTCAGTTCTCCTAGTGGCCTACAGTAATTGTCTTGTTAAGATCAGTCAGATCCTACTAGCACATACTAAGGAGCTACAAAGGAGACGAATCTTGACCAATCAAACCAGTTCTGGAATGCCAAACATCCGATTCACACCGGGACGCTGCGCAGATCAGGAAGTCCAAACGCGTCCAATCCAGTTGTGTTTCTTTGTTTTAACGTGTTCGCATGGTTTTTGCCGATGGCTGGATACTGCGGCCGAGCACATCTTGATTCATTTCTGGTCACTGCGCCCTGATCTGGTCAAAACCGTCTTCCATAGGAACTGAGGCCTCTTCCGATGGGTGTTTGCGCGAGATGGGAACCTGCAAGAAGAGGCGGTCTTCCATAGAAGTTCCAGTACGGAGAAAAATCCTCAACTGCAGGATACTTCCAATATCTTCCAATTGGGTAGGTCGAACTAGATCAATCTGAGACATTCTGAGACCAGGCGCTTTTCCTTCTCAAACCACCGCGAACCCCGCCGACCATCGCGAGCCACAATGGCCAGCGTCCCCCCACCAATGGCCAGGCCCGGTGGGAACGCCAGAAACGCCGAGGAACATGCCGATAATGGCCATCATGGCCAAGCGTCCGTTGGCGAGTTCCGCGGAAAGCTTCTTCTTGCGCGCCTCGCGCGTGCGGAAAGTTCTTGTTGTTTTAGAGCCAAAGGGTCAAAGGGTTTGCACACAAAACTCCATGTGACATGTGGCCGCCCGCCCGCCGGGGTGAGACCGTGCCTCAGGGTTGGTCACCGGGCCAAAGAAGCCCAGGCCCAAGTTGCCCTTGCCGTAGTTTCCAGGCTCATCACCCACCTGAAGTCTCCAAACTGGAGTCGCGGGTCGATGTGGAAGGGTGGGTGACCGTGCCCATTAATATGTCCATCACATCACGGGTGTTACATGTTCACTTCCTAAGGGAAAGAAGATCTTGACTAAAAGGGTCTAATGTAGACACTTGATTAATAACCTCCCCATATAAAAGGATACAAAACGTGTTCAATTCCAAGGGGGTGGTTCTTGATCAAGAGTCTACATTAGTTATTAGCCCAGGGATGAGAACTTGGATTCTGTGGAGCTTGGGAGTCTTTCCTGTGGCTGGACCGAAAATATGGGACAGCGAAAACCCACCACGGGTATTCTGGAAACCCTCCAATTGACCTGCCCCCAGGGCCCCAGCTCACAACTAAACTTCCGACCTTGTCCTTCCTGCCCAAGCTCATCTCAAAAAGCGCAGTGAACACCTAAAGGGACCATGTGCACACATGCAAAAATACTTGCGGTTGTGGTGCTGGCTTGTTGATGAAGAGCTCATAGGTTCCCAAGAAGGCCACGATCTGCGCCCAGCCCTGCCCTGGCACCTGAGCCATGCTGCTAGGCGGGCGCATCCCGAAACGGATCTGCCGCAAGTGCCAAAGGGGAATGCTAGAGGATTCAATTAACTATATAACTATAACCAGTTGGTAGCCACGGGCTTCAATGAAGACCAAGACCTGTAAAAATGTTCTAGATACTATAATATCTATGTGCCTAACGCCCTGGATGTTGTGTCAAGAACACTGAGACCAGATTTCACTGAGACGTGAAACTCTCAATTCATCCCCCAAACTGTCAACAGTGTAGAACAAGTGGATGAAAGCTTTAGATGCCTTGCGGACTTCGTCACACAGACCTTTCGCACCACGTCCCACCACACGTGGCCTTGGTGAGGGCTGCGAGGCCGTTGGGGATGTCAGCGAACTTCAGGCCCATCTTGGGGGACAACTCACCCGGGAACTTGAAGTACCTACCGAAGGCATCGCGCTTCGTCCACGGCGCAGCAGGCAGCAGCCTGGAATCGTCCCAGCGAAAACATCGGCTGGTTGGTCGGTATGCTTCCTTTTCCTAAGGTTGTCGATGGACCATCAATTCATCTAAAGGGTTGGTTGTCTAGCCTTGCTCTCCTCACATGACATGTGCCTTATTTGTAGTTGGTTGCCTTGGAGGTTCTGTGAAATACCACCATTGATCCTCAATCTAAGTGTCCCCAGCAGAGATAATAAGTCCTGCGTGTAAAGCTTCCACTGAGTGACTACTCGAGTGAAACATCTTTCATGGTTTTCCCGGGCTTGCACGTCTCCAAGAACCTGTTGACAAAATAAACAGCGGTTCTGGCGCACTCCGGCACGATGTAGCCCATGCAGGCAAACATGGAGATCCTGGAATATGGTCGCAAGGCTGCACTCGCTGTCGCAAGAAGCTTTCAGTCGATGCGGGTTTTTGTGCGACAGGAACAAGCAACCTGGAACTGGTCTTCTCACAAAATCCCAATCAAGTCTTATTGAAGGGTGCCCCAACCAACCCCCCCACCATCCCCCACCATCCCACACCATCACAGCTTCATGGATAGAACCTAACTAACTGATCAAAACCACATGAAAATGCTGACCCGACATCGCTCCGCCCACGGCGCCAAGAACCAAACAACATCATGGCTACAGCGTGTTACACGGATGCAAACATGTCCGGTCCGTGTTATTTGTCTTCGGAAGACACCCGGCGGCCCTTCCTAGGTACTTCCTGGTCTATGTTCCTTCCTTCCTTGAGGTCGAAACTGGGAGGGTCTCCCTATTTTAATACAGTACTCCATGTTGACCCAACACCTCTTAACACACGCCGTGCTTGAGCTCGACTGCTGCTCCTGCCGTGCTTGAGCTCGACCTCCCGGCGGCGCTGGAAGACTTCCACGTCGCCGTCGGCGGAGAGGCCCAAGGGGTCCCAGAAGCCCACGGGAGGCTGGACCTCAACGGGCTGCGCAGGGTCTCAACGTACTGCGTGGCACACGAATTGGGAGGCCATGGCATCGCGGCTTTTTGTTGAGCCACGTTGGATTGTGGTGATCTAAGCAAAAGCTTCTCATGGTTCACATCGCCGCACCTTGTTTCGGGTGGGTGGTCTAGGAGTGATGTCTTTGCGACTTGAATTGAAGTGGCTGGTGGGTAACGCCTTCGCCTGGTTCCCGGTCTGGCGTACTGCCACGTCGGACCCGCGATCCGGACAAGAGTTCACGATCGTGGGATGACACTCTTTGCATCTCTTTACATCTCTTTACCTCGTTGCATGAAACTGGTTCATAAGAAGAAATCGTCATGGGGATTGATGAAGCTGGTTCATAAGATTTCGAACAATGAACATCTTCATGGGGGGTGTTGCCATTCGTCGTGCCCTTCCCATTCGATCAAAGAGCTTTTCATCTATACAAATGGTCATGTGAGGCGGCAGCCTGGCGAAATGAATGGAAATGACATGTCCGGAGAACAAAAGGAAAGGGGCAACACCTACAGCTCTCAAAATTGTGTTTCTGTTTCATGGTCTTTAGCTGAGCACGCACGAGCTTCCCCCCTCTTCACCCCGCTGGAAAAACAGGGAAGGTGAAGCACCTTCTTGGCTCCATGGACCAGAATCTCCACGGCTCAGCTATAAAGGATGTAGCACGAGTATGATGTCATCTCCTGATTTCTTGTTGGTTTGTGGCAAGTGTACAGTAAAAGCCTGAAAACAAACATAGATGGATAGTGAGGCCCCCAGGCCCTGGGCTTTTCAGGCCCCAGTGTGACACGACTTCTGACCATCCAAACCTTCGAACCATCCAAACCTTCTTCACCCGTGCCATTTTGCCGGCAGCAAATTCTGGTGCCATGACCCACAGCCATCTAACACTTCGTAAGCTCATTCCCTCCAAAGGCAACCACTTCCCTCCAACCCCACTCTCAGGCCGTTCGCCCACCCAGGCCGTTCGCGACCCTCTCAGGCCGTGCGGCGCCCAGCTCGGTCTCGAAGGCCCTCAGGGGGCTGTCGGTGTAGTTCGCCCAGTCGCCCCAGGCGGAGCCCGTCAAGCCATCCTGGGACACTCCACGTGACGAGGAGAAAACGTCCAGTGGATGACATGGGTTTCTGGGAAGATGGTTCTGTCTTCCCTGTGACCAAAGAAGTGTCGAAGTTCCTATGCTGGTGAATCGTTTGTTTTCACGTGGAAGATGGTGTTGCATAGATGTTTGTTCTCACCAAACATCATGGCATGAAGCCTGAGTTACATGATTGAGTCTTGTTCACGGACTGTGTTTTGTGTGTTTTGTGTGTTTTGTGTCTGTGTAAAAATGGACTGATGGTCGAAAACCCCGCGCAGAAAACCAGAGCTTCTGCTAGGCGTAGGGCGGTGCCTACGCATTGACCTTAAACCATGCCTGATACGTGGAGCAGAAGACTCTGTCCTGAAGAGACACAGCGAGTACGTAGTAGATAGGATTTTGTCTTTTCATCAGGTTTTGTCAAGAAAACAACCATGTACCAGGGCCCCCTAAGGGATGGTTAATGGATACCCTTAACCTTAACCTCTGAGGAGCTATAATTGGACACCCCTTAGGGGCCCTGGTATAGTGGGCTGGATGAATCCAGATACCACGCAGGAGGGAAACAAACGTGGAGCTGTCTGGGACACAAAATCCTAATTAGCTAGAGCTGTCTGATGGGTTGAATGGTGGGTGGAATTAGAGCTGTCTGATCTTTTCTGACCCACCATTGCGGGACTTTGGGCTGACTTTGGGATATATGAACACAGGAGGGAACTGTACCGTGACAACAGCAATTATGTAATTCATAGTGATTGTAGAGTCCTTGTCTATGACACAAGAAACAAGAGGGTACCTTCTCAGATCTAAAGTGGTCCATGAGCCCATGGGCCCACGGGCTGGAGCCCTTGTGGTGCTCCTGAAGTCTGGTATTTCTTTGGTGGCCCAATCCCAACAAAATACCACTCGCAACTGGAGGAAATCACATGCTAAAACATCGATTCAGCACATCGATTCCCACCTGGAAGAACATGCCAATAATCGCCTGAGGACGCGTTTCGCTCAGACGCCGACCGAACGGTCCGAGCAGGTCATACTCGTGTGGACCACGTCCCAAAGACAGGGACGTGGCTTGGTGGAATAAGAGCCTGAATCCATCTGAATCCTGAAGGTGTAAAAAAAGAACCTGAATCCATGTCAAGGCCCAGGCATGCCCAGGCCCTAAATTGGTTGCTGAACATCGAAAAAACCTTCGCAAGCAAGCAAACACCCCATCAGAGTCTGATAGTTGGGGCACAGAGTGATCAGAGTGATCCTCTTCACAGGGAACCAGCCGCGCAATAGCTTCAACCCATCGCTCTGGGTGGCAAAGAGTCCATCATCCATCCGGGCACCAGTGCCCATTCTGACCCTGGCCTTCTTCCCCAAGCAAACCCCAGCCTCGCCAAGAGCAGCAACCTGCTTGAAACCCAGAAAAGCTGAGAAGGCCAGGCCTTATTTCTACAGTGAAGTCGATTCCCTAAAAACAAGTCCCACCACCCTAAAAACCAGTCCCTTCTCTACAACAAGTCCATCCGCTTCCCTCAAACCGCCCCAGTCCTGGCCCCCGAGTAACACCCCCTCACCCTCCACGCCCAAGCGACCATCATGGCCAGACGGCCGTTGGCCAGCTCGGCGTTCAACTTCCTCGGCCAGTCCCGTCCGGTGCGACCGGCGGTCCGGCGGAGGTGGAAGGTGCCGTGGGTTCCTTCAGGTTCCTTCGGGTTCCTTTGGGTTCCTTCCACAAAGTGTAAACATGCAACTGGTCTTGCAGGTACAAAGGCCAGCTTTGGGATAGATTGTCAACCGGGCTCTTAGCGGCTGGGAATTGCTCATTTGCAGAGTGCTGGAAACGCAGAAGTCTATACAAAACAGTTGTTGTTGACTGTTGTGAGAGCAGCATATACTATATACTCCGCAATATTGCCTTTAGGGAAAGTATGCCGGATTGGGGAATTGTCTTCCGTCACAATACCCAATGGACGAAAACACCCCATGACCCAAGGCATTTCTCGCTGGCACGGACCTCCGACCTCCGAGCGTCTTCTTCCTGATCTCTGGATCAGAGATCGCGGAGTTCATGACACCCACAGACCTCCGCTCCAAAAAAACGTGCGGAAAAAGACCCACCACAATGGTCCACCATGCAGGTCTTCTTGGGGGTCCAAAGATGTTGGGAGTTTGTTTGAGGGGGTTCTGCTTGGAGTGAGGCTACTGATGTCATTGTTGAACTTAAGCCTGGAGCATCCAAGGCCCTGCACAGGCTTGCGGTGTGGACACCCCAACAGGATCGTACTCCCAAATACAAACCAACATCCTCCAACAATCTCCAACAATCATGGAAGTGGATGGCATGGCCCCGAAAGGAAGACTCCTTTCCTCTACCAACCAAGGGGTTCATCCATCAATGAATCTGATCAACGCCCTCGGCTCACTGGGCATTGCATCGCATGTCCCACTTCCAGTCGGACGCTGGGACGAGGAGTCTGCGGCGCTAGCGTCACTCGCTGCGTCGCGTCGCGCGTCACACGCCTGAGGCCCAAAAAGCCAGAGCCATAGTTTCCAGGCTCATCGTTCACTTGCTCATTGTAGACCTCGTTTCAGGCTGGGAACTGAGAAAGGCATTGATGTCAGGCCTGTCAGGATGTCTATAGGAAGGTCAGATCTAGATCTAGGAGGTCAGGTGGGATGGACATGTGGTCATTGAAAAGCAATAAGGTTCGCGTGGGACTGTTGAAGGACAAGTCATCTGTGCCAGCCTATCCCCCTCCGCAAGAGCTCATCAACGATCAAAAAGGACTTTTAAAAAAAGAGAGACAACCTATATATATATAGAGAGAGAGAGAATCTATAGATCCTCCACGTTCATCTATGTTCCAAATCGTCACGTCAGTGTGCCCTACTCCTTCGTTCGCTAGCATCGTTCTTTCTCAGCTGCTCGTGACAACGGTCACCGTACTCCCACTGGCGCGCGTCTGACCGGTCCGATCAGGTCGGCCGTTCGGGGTCTGAACTGAAGAGGTCTGCGAGTCCCTATGGATGGAACGTGTTCCTAACATGAGTATGAGTCTTATGTGTCTGTATGACATGAGTATGAGTATGCTGGTCTGTATGAACTCCGGTCTGAACTGAGTCTTATGTGTCTTATGAGTCGCCCATTTGCCTGAACATCCATGGAAACATCTATCCATCTATCCAGGGCTCCAGCATCGTATGGTCATATCCAGAATGGTAGCTAGGGCTCCAGCTCCACATAGATGTTATATGATCGATTCCCCAGGGCTCCAGAGACCTTCTGAGAAGGTCTTTGTGGGTTTAGAAGGTCCAAATACCTTCTGAGGAGGTACTTGGAGCCCTAGGGATTGTATTCTATTGTAAGACACACAAAAACCGCCCTTAATGGCTTAAACCTTCGCAGCTTGCACCTTCTCCTTGGTCCCCTCCTGTGCATACCAGAGCGACGTTGAGCTCCACAATGCCCGCGAAGCCCACAATTTGCAGCCTTGCTGCGACGCTTTGGATCCACATGTGTTGCGACTCCTTCAATGAAGATGGCCAAAAGGTCTTCCAGATCTGGCAGGAATCCTATTTTATATCCGCAAACTGTTGGCTATAGCTATAGATATTGATACATACATATACACAATTATACACATGTTGTTAGCTGCCCTGCAGATTCGAACAAGAGCTGCAGCCCCAGCGGCCATCCGAGCGCCGGAACCTTGGAGAAGGCTGCAAGGCCATTGGGCACATCGGAGAACTTGATGTCCTTGGGAAGAAGCCAAGGCCATTGGGAGAAGGCAGGTCTCAGGTCAGGTGGATCGGAACGACGGGCCATGGGGCAGGGTGATGCAGGGAGCTATGCTCGGAAGGAGCTTAACCTGAGGTCGATCGCAACACATATTATCTGGACCATCATTCTGTTGGCGCGCCCAACTACAAAGTGTAGGATGGTCGTGGATACATACAAAAAAAAACACCGTTACTAAGCAGATGCCGGAGATGCCCAATGAATCAGGAATGTGTGGAATTGTGCGTATGTCGGTTCACATCTTTCTTCTTCCTCAAACGACCCAGCTCTCAGGTCTCACCAAAACGGCCGCTGCCGTTTTCAGCCGGGCCCCGCGTCGTGCGCCGTTTGTCTCCGTCGAAGCGGTGCGTGCGTGGCTTATGGGCCTATCTGTGCTAAGGGTCCAGGAACTTGGACAGATATCCTGGGAAGCGCCAATACTCTGGCAAGATGTAGCCGATGGTGGCGAACCTGAGATGGTGGCGACGAATCATCGATTTCGGGCGAGTTCCGCTTCGGTCGTTGGTGGCGTTGCGTCCGTTTCGTGGAGCGTTTGGACGTTCCAGTTTTCTCCTTCTTTCACTGGCGCTTTCCCTGAAAAGACATATCCAAAAGCAACATCTAATCCAAACCAGCCAGGACTTCCAAACCATGAGGTCTTCAAAGAAGACGTCCCACCCGTTCTGGCGGTGTTCCTTTTTTGGGAGATCAGCAGAAAGAAGCTACGGTAGACCGCACCGGGTGCACTGGCCATCTCAACGGGGCGCCAATCAGAAAGAGACAAGGCTCTAGTGGTCCCCAACACATGGTCAGTGAGGAATTAGTGAGGAATTGCTTTTCTAGTGGTGATTTGTCTGCTTTTCTATGCATTTGGGGGTCTATATACTTGATGTAACGGAACAAGAACAAACAATCAGCTACTTGACATCCGTTCCTTTGTGTTACTGATTTGCCTTTGCCTTTTATACGGTGAGATGGGGGAACCAAGGTTAGATGACTGGCATCTTACCTCTACGTTTGCTTGGTAATTATTCCTATGAATCAGATCCAAAAGATTAAAACAAGGCGTCTAGCTTCCCGCCTCAACTCGCACCAGCTTTACTGCTCCACTGCGAGTAAACATTCCGCCTGCCCATGAACAAAAGAACGGATCCTTTTTTCAGAAAAAATCTGCTGACAACGGTGGTCCCGAAGGAAAGAAACTCCACTCATCTCCAGTCCCCTCCCTCTCCAGTCCCCTCCCTCTCTGTCAACGGCCACACGGACGGAAGCCGGGCTACATGGCCACACGGCCGTGCTTCAGCTCGACTTCGCGTCGTCGCTTGTAGTCCGACTGGTTTCCTCGGCCGCTTGGGTTGGATTGGAGGCTCCGATTTGGCGGGGGGATAAAAAAGCCCAAAAACGACCAAGCCTCCAACAGGCTGTTTCGGGACCCCAGGAGTAGCACCTGTCACCCGGAGATACCAGGAGTATCCAGGAGTGACACCTGTTGGATCCAGGTACTAAATTCAACCATGGATGGGTGCGCTGTCCCTTCCCTGTACGCTTGGCTCTAAAAACTCGAACACTACCGGACATTTTTGGTGCTTTCCGGGTATCTTTCGACACCTATGGATGAGTCAGTGATGTCTTTGACCTGAAACCCTTGGAGAGAAGCCAACAAAAACTAGAAGAACCCACGATGGAAGTGACAAAAAGAACACCCCTGTATCTGGAGGAAAAACGTATTCTTCCTGCTCTTCGGGAGTGCCTCGACCCCCTCAGGCCAAGCTTCCGCTGACGGCCAAGCCCAAGGGGTCCCAGTAGCCCACAGGAGGCTGCACGCCTGAGGTATGAAGCTCACCTACAAAAAAAAAGAAAATGCTTCCAAGGCTTTGGATGTCCATGGTTTTTTGGCAAGCTTTTCTTTTGCGACGGACAAGCACTTAGAACGAAACATGCGTCCAAACGATGTGTCCAAAACATGGGTCTCGGTGACTCTAGATCCCCCCAGGAAACTTCCCCCACCCCATCCGCCGCGGAAGTGGTTCCCAGCTGGGCGCCTGTCTCGTTCTCAAAGGCCCTCAATGGGCTGTCGGTGAAGTTGGACCAGTCACCCCAGGCGGAGCCTGCGACGAGGCGAACCGACACACAGCTTCACCGACAAACGAGGTGGACGGTTCAAAGGATGCAGTGTAGGGGCTTCATCATGCTTCATCCTCATCCCGAACACCATGTGTCATGATGCGTATCAATAGCATTTCACAGGGGTGGCTTTTTCTTGCGTGCTGGTCATTCACCAGGGGTTGACCTCCAAAACACATGTCATAGAGTTTCAAGTCAGTGACAGAGATGACCGCCCTATGCCAGTGAGGTGTTCTTCCCTTGATGAGTTCGCGACGACACCGGGCGAGACCTGGTGTGACCTAGCAGGTCACCGTAGCAGTCGATCCCAAAGAGTTCGCTGGAACTGCAATCATCAACCCTTGGTGTGGGCGGAGCAGGTTCTGAGCATCTATGGTGGCTTTCAGGATGCAAGGTGAGCAATCTCCCTCCTTCGTCTCCACATGCCTCTTAGATCATCTTACATCATCCTACATCCACGCTCGGCTTGTTCCTCCATTCGCCTCCACCCACCCAGGTGAGATCAGGCTTGGCTACATCCCAGGTGAACCTGCGAAGCCCCGCCTGTGAGGCCATCTTGGTAGAACATGCCGATGATGGCCATCCTGAGCGACGGCCGGCTCGTCCCGGCCGCCGCCGAGTCCGGTCCGACCGGTCCGACCGGTCGGACGCACAGGACGAGACGGGACGGGACGAAAAGGTGAAGAAGGAGATTTAAGGGTGCTCCTTCAGATTTGCAGGGATGGGGGAGAGTGTGAAAGAAGAACTGCAAACATGTCCAACTCTTAAACTTCTAACTTCTAAGCTACTTCTTTGGCACCGCTTTGCCATCAACATACTTGGATCCCCTCAAGAAACTGAGACCAAACATTAAGCGCATTAAGTGGGAAAAGCATCAACAAAGACCTGGTCAGAATTCTTGAAACATCTCTGACCATCCAACACCAAAAATTCGAGAGTGTTTCCTTCCAAGCAACATGGCCAAACGGCCGTTGGCCAGCTCCGCCGAAAGCTTTTTCTTCTTGGTCTCAGGGTCAGGGGAGCTCCTGGGCCGGACTGTCATGGTGCCAGTCTCCACGTAGCTTGGCCGGTCGGCCGTGGGGAGTTTACAGAAACTGGAGTTTGGAGTCAAAGTACCATCTCAATGACCATCTCATTACTTTAAGACCAATGCAAAAGGTGTAAATCTAGTAACGATGTGTTTCTTATTGTTAGCCGGCCCGGCACCAACTGAGATTTTTAGATGACCATCTCACCTTAGCATCACTTGATGCCCTGCCTTTGACCTCCACCCATGAAACACAACATCTCTGGCACGCTGAGGACCATGCGCGATTCAGCGCAGTGCCGCAGTGGGATGGACGAATGAGAAATGGTGAAGATTATTTGGGCGACCGATTTACATCCATCCATTAACACATAGGCAAATACATACCATACTGCCAGGACATCCATACCTTGCTTGCAACCTTTGGATTTCTTTCCATTTACATCCATCTACCATGATATAGGTATGCGGTATGCGATATACGGTCTTCTGTATATGATCCCTTTCAATGTGATTTACGTGCATACCATCTACCCCAGACCGTGGCCCCACCCCCGGCCCCAGGCCATCACACCCCAAACCGGCCAAAGAAAAAACATAACTAAACTTATACTAAGAAAAAACAAAAACTTGTGTTGAGCAATGGCAGCCATACGTGACCAACCATACAACCCTTGTATCGGCTGGCGTGCACAACTCAAAACAACCCGTGCAGCGTTGCTTTCGGATGTGCAACCCACACCCTGCAGGCCCTCTCCCTCCCGGATCAGTCGAGGCACAAGACATACCATCCAAAGTCGCCTGCGCCATGCGCGCTTGGGGAGTCTGGAGATACGAAACACCCAACTACAAAGGCGTAGAATGTACAAGTATAGCAGTAGCATACGATGGAGTATGCCAAAGGGCGACTTCTCCCATGTTTACTGGTATTCCGGTATTCCAGACATTTCCAGACTCCAGACCCTTAGAATGCACATATGAAGCGAACACCCCCCACATGGTGGTCGATGGGCTTTCCATCTCTTTTGGGAGGGTGCATGTCAGGGTGGGTCATACGTACAAGAAGACCCAGCAACGAGCCATGCAAAATCACCTCACCCACCAGTGGCAGTATGGTCTGCAGCGGTTTCAGTCCAGCTCAGGGCTTGCTGCTCCGAACCTCCAAAGAAAACATCCGAAGAACAATACCCACCCACCCGGCCTGGGCGTCCGCTGGCAATGTCGGAGCCTGGGCCACGGCTCACCTCGCACCAGCCCATGTAGAGCAAAATCTGAGTCCAGCCACCCGCAGGCACCTGAACGGTAAGCAGCTCGCCGCGACAAGGCATGAGACTCGGATACGGGAAAGGGGATGCCGCGATCTGACCAAGGAATGGGATGCGTGAAAGGTCTGAGACCACCTGAAGTCAGTGGTCCAGTGACATTTGGAGTACCGAAACAGGCTCCGTAAGGCTCTAAGAAGTCCAACTGATCCAACTGTTGGGTCCCTGATCCAACTGTTGGCTCCCCTGGGCAGGGCAGGATCCCTCAAACGGCCTTGGAGATGGCAGCCAGGCCGTTGGGCACGTCGGCGAACTTCAGTCCGGCGCTGGGGCTCAGGTAGCCCGGGAACTTGCCCGCGATTTCGGGGGTGATGTAGCCTCGAGATTCCGTCATGAAGTCAAATGCTCTTTTGCAGATGTGCCAGTGGTGACTCATCATCAGCAGCAAGCAAGCCAGCCAGCCAGCAAGCAAGCAAGCCAGCCAGCAAGCAAGCAAGGTTCTTGGATTGAACATGTTGTAAGCGATGTTAGCTTAAGCATGCTCAAGCTATGTCTTCGCAAGTCTCTGCTGGCTCCACTATGGTCTCCAAGAACGGCATTCAACCACCAACAAAGGCATTGCATGGTTTCTTTTGAATAGGCCTCGGGCCATTGGGGCCATTGCCATTAATACAGGTATACATACTGGTCCGACCAGATTCCTCTACCCAGTGGGATGCCTGGATTTCGCCCGGCAGTTGCGTGAGAAGGGAGTTCAAGCAAAATTCCCTCATGGATTGACTCTAGCTTCAAGCGTCGACTGTAGCCGTGTCTAGTTATGTCATGTGAACACATCCTGCTGTGTCTAGTCGACTCACAGTCAACTCACCTCCCAGCGATCCCTGTCTTCGCTCCGGTCGCGTTCGGACCAAGTCGCCCATGGTCGCCAGCATAGCAATCCTGGAATTGGTTCGGACTATGGTCGCTACTAGCAGCAAAAGGCATCGCTACAGACCTCTCCCCCCCCCACAGCGCCCGGTCGACCGTCGCCCCCGGGCACGGCCGGTCGCCTCTTCGACCACGACGACGTTCGGACGACGACGTTCGTCGGCTCCTTCCGTGCTTCAGCTCCACGGAGCGGCGGCGCTGGAAGGCCTCGCCGCCGAGTGAGGCGAACGAGTGGAGAACGCGCGAGGCGAGGCGCTCCGCTCGAGTGGGGGAGAACGTGGAGTGACGGGCTGGGTCGGTGGAGACAGAAACGAAGAATCGGATCGAGATCTTGAATCTTGAAGGAAAAGATGTCTTTAGAAATGGGTGGGAGTCAGTTGCTGAGTAAAAATCGAAGAGAATCTACCAGCCACCGACTTGAAACAACTAAATTATGTTATTTGTAATGATGTTCTGTTTGTTCCTTTGTGGTGACAGATTGTTGTTTCTTGTTGTATTTTACTGTAGCAGGGATGTGTTCAAAAGCTAGACACCGGCAGGCAAAGGTTGTGTCATGTTGTGTCCATGTCTTTTGCTGGCAATTGTTTTTGGCCGTGTTTTTATCGTTTGTTCAGCTGCATCTTGCACTTGGCCGTATTCATTTAAGACTTTGCATGGACAACTCCAGTTCTGTGCTGCCACGGGCAGCTTGGGGACGTAAAGCCCAGGTCCCGATATGTGGTTGCTGCGACGCAAACCAGTGCATGGCTGTAACTGCCCACCACCACAGGCCACAAATCAAGTGACTCAGCTCCGTCGCCCCAGTTGACACCGCCTCCACGTCACCATCCCTGGCCAAGCCAGCAGGGTCCCAGTAGCCCACAGGAGGCTGCACGCCCAGCTCCTCGCGGTGAAACCGAGCGTGTGAAACCGGGTGTTGGACGGAAGGCAAGAGGCCGAAGGCTGAGGACTTCGTGTCAATTGGATAGACTCAAAATGACTAAAACATACCCCAGACGCTCTATGTATGCCATATTTACCAAATATGGCATACATGAGCGTCTGGGTAATTACTGCAGTTTGGGGTCCTGACAATGAAATGCATGAAAGTACAAAGCCATACAAAGCCGTATTTCAAGCCAAGAAGCCCAGGAAGCCCAGTGGGTTCCGGTCTCCTTTATTAGACAGTTCCATTCCGTGCGAACCCCTGTCCATAGCCACCCGTTGAAGGTTGATGATTCCGATGTCGAGCTTTCCAAAAGTGGTACATCTGGCATCTTTCCCATTGATCTTGCGAGTGCCCAAAGGATATGCTGCTTCATGTTGATGACAAATGCCTCTCGGATGGTTAAGGCATGATAAGACTTAATGTGTAGAACATTGGATTCCCAAGGATAGAGCTTTAGTCACGACCATTTATACTATTATATTACATTAATATTTTTTATACATAATATGTATATATATATATATATCAGCACCGTTGTCACGACTGTCCAATCATTTGGTATTTTGGGGCTCGACATGTTCAACAACATCCATCAGCTCCAGCTCTACCCACGCACCCACGCACTCCTGCTCGAAGGCCTGGCAGATGATTCGCAGCTTGGGAATGCTGACCCAAACCATTGCCCTGCTAGATGGACCACCAGTCATAGGGGATTCTAGTGATTTGCTGAGGCAGCTTTGGCGAGTTCCCACGTGCTATCCAACATGCTTCTCTCGAACCCCAAAAGTACGTACGCCCAAACCCCACTCCCAATGGTTGGAACATCTCGTGTCGGAACTCATGCATGCGCCTAGCACAAGAAAGGGGCTAATCTCAAAAGCGACCGCTCTGATGATTTCTCCATGCTTAGCACCCCACCATGCTTTATCTTGTGGTCTTTGCTCCGACAAAATGTTTAGCTTGTGGAGGCATGGCGGCAATATCACAGCCACGCTACGTTGGGGTGCTGAAAGGATCCAAGAAAATTACGAATATTGAGTGACCAAAGTGTTGCACAAAACGATACAGTACCACGACTGAATCAGAAGAAGCTTTCCAAATGTGGGATGCAAATGGAATCTCATGAGTCATGAGGCTTGTTGGCAGTTATTGGATTTGACCGTGCACTGTCCATGCTGCTTAGCCCCTTAGAGTCGCAAGGAATTAAAGTTCTTGGTTAGGAACCGTGACATAAAGTTCTTAAAGTTCTTGTTTTGCTGACACCGCTACTCGACTCACCCCAAAACCCCGAGGGCACCCCGGCTCACACCTCGACGCACACCGACACCTGCCTTGAGGGCGGTGATGGTGGTGGGGCTCAAGTGTCCCGGCCTCGGGATCGCCAAGGAAGCGCCGGTCCAGCGCGTGGGGAAGCGCCGGTCCAGTGCGTGCAGCAAGTTGCAGGTGTTCCGGCGTCGAAGATTCACGGCCACTTTGAGAACCCGAAAACGCCATAAATCCATACAAATCTCAAATCCAGCGCCATGATCCCACTAGGAAAACCAACATGGACCCTGAAAACCACTGGTCTGTAAAGGAAAACAGTCTCTCTGGGTCCCCATTCTCAGTGTCCATGTTAGTTTTCAGGTGTGTAAGGCCATTTGGTCTGGCCAAAGGGCCGTCGTGCCATGAAGACACCCGCGGAGGCAGCCACCACAGAGGCAGCAGCATAGCTGGGAGCGGCACTGGAGGCCTATCCGCCAGATCAGCGACTCGATCAGAGGATCAGCCCTAACAGTTGAGCCTATAGTAGCGTCCGATCGCTCCGTTCGTAGCGATGCCAGGAGCCCCTAGTAGCGAACCTTGTTCCTAGTAGTAAGGCCAGGAGCCCCGTTCCGTTCGCAGCGTCCTTGCTCCTACTGCACACATGATTCACGTATCACGGCGTGAGTGTGACTCATCAAGATCTTCGTAGCATTGGAACCAGCACTGAGGCCCAAGAATCTCGGTGGGTGGGTAGGTGGTCTCGCATCATCCAGAAGACACATGAACTATAAATCTCTTCCACCCCCCTCGCTGGCCTGTGCCTGTTGCGCAGTGGCCTGTGCCGTCCTGGAGCGCAAGTTGGCGCCCTTCGTTTGGCTTCCTGGCGCAGTGCATCTTGGAGGCAAAAGGAACCTTCCAAATAGCAACTAGGAGCAAAGAAGCTACGAACGGGGCTCCTGGCCTTACTACTATAGGAGCAAGGTTGCTACGAGGTAGGGGCTCCCCTCATGTTCGTCTCCCGGAGACCCCGGTCGATGCCAACCACAAATGTCTTGAACTGAGTAGCCGTTGCCCTTGCATCGTGAAGCGTTGCTTCCTGTATGCTCAAAACACACATCATCATATACTATATTCTTTCTATGATGCTATCTTCATACTGCAAAAGTATATAATTTGTATATTCATCCGTCACTTGAGCCGACTGAAATTGCGCGAATGCAAATGTGCTGAAACAAAACAAAAAGAACAACAACATGGTCGCCACCACCCCTCCAGGAGATGGAGTGTCCTGGCCTGTGGGCGCCAGGAAAGCACTCCCAGCGACCGCACCTCCGAAAGCACGGCGCGTCAGATTTTGGTGGCCACGGGGTCCGGGACGGTGGTGGAACCTCTATCTTATTGTCTTGTTGTTTTGTCTTTTCTTTATGTGTCTTTTTGTAGTTATACTGTAATGCGAGGATTTCGTTGACCCACTTCCAAAAACACACTGAAGGTCCCGGACAGAAAAAAGGTGGACTGGCACATGGGTCACCTGTGAGGCTGACATGAAGTCAAGTCACCCTTGATTGGGAGGGCCTCCAAATCGTCTGTGGGCCTCCAAATGCCGTTCGGCAAGTCCAGCAAGTCACACGTCCGTGACGTTGCTGGGTCACGTCGTTGCTGGGTCGTTTTTCGGTCTCCCCGTCGGCGCCAGCCAGCTCGTTTTTCTGAGTCTCCCTGGCTGACACTTCCCGGTCGGACCGGGTGGGGAGGCTTTCTGTTTCGAATCACATCGAGGCGCGTGAGATTTTCACTGGCGGAGAGGCAACCGATTATGTCTGTGATCGGAGAAGCAACTGATCCAAGTGGAAAACTGTGGGTAACCACCCTCCCTGAGAGTATGAAACCTCCTCCCCCGACAAACCTCAGACGACGATTCACGGTTTCATACCCATGGAGCCGTGGAGATACTCTACGCCCCGCGCACTCCGCGCACCCCCGCATCACCCAACGGACGGGACCTGCCAACCCGCGCACCTGCCAAGCCAACACCCAAAGCACACTTCTTGGAAGCCATCCTCGCGGATTGGCCGATGAGGAAACGCGCGACATCAGCCGAGGAAACGCGCGCGCATAAAGACACGGGAAGAGACACACGAGAGAAAGGGGTATGAGAGATGTCACATGTTTTTGTGTTTGTGGTGAGACATATGGTTCCTCAAACCATCGTCTGGATGCCAAACATCGAGAGCGCCTTTAAACCTGGTGGCAGGTGGCCGACCACCCGCAAAGCCCCAACGAAAGCCCGGCAGTCCTCAAGTCGGAGGAAAAAGGTGGAGGAAAAAACGGCTTTGGAGTTTGTGGGCGCCGGGGAGAAAAAGGCGGCCCTTGAGGCAGGTGCTTTGTGCCAAACGTCTGCAGAAAGATTCTGGTCCAAACAAATAGGCGAGCCAAACAAACAAGTCCAGTCCAAATCAGAATCAAGAACAGTCCAGTAAGTCCAGTCCAATCCAGAAAGGATTACTGGCAAATGTCTTTCCTTGTCCAGTCCAAATCAGAGCGATATTTAACATATCTTCGGGTTCTCTAAGTTCCTAAGTGACTAGCTGGACCACCGTTCCTCATTCCCGGCTTCCACAACCAATGAAGGAAAGAACGGTGGACCGGCTTGCGTATTTGACGGCCCAAGAAGAATGTTACCGGGCAATTGAAGGCAATTCAACTCCATGTTCTACAATTACAATGGATTTGGGATAAGCACAATCTGTTGCTACACCAAATCCCATCACATCGACGTGCGCCCTCCTTTGTTTCACGCCGCCAGCACCGGCTTAAACGCCGAGGTCTTCTTCCTCTCTGTAGAAAGATTTGGGTCGAGTCTTTTTTTCGGTCGACACTTTTCTTTTTTGAAATGAAAAGCCCGATCAACGTACTCGGCTGTGCTTGTCTCGGTCTGTTTGGCAACATCATGTTGTTTTGACTGCTTCCATCTGCTTCCCATTGTTCTTTTTCTCGGTTAAGGCTGGTTCATGATGCTGTTTTGTTCTTGTGAGGAGTCTCACCTGGACCATCCTGGACCGCTTTTCGTGGTCGTTTCTCGGGGGAAAATCGATCAAATATGATCAAAGGGAATCCTCTAGCCCGTCAGGCCGCTTCGTGCCCGGGGTGTTTTGCCGCCGCATCGCCTCATCGGAGAGGCGAGTCTGTGTAGGCTGCCCAGTCACCCCAGGCGGAGCCAGTCAGGCCGTCCTGGAAGAACCTCAAAGGATTCTGGGCGCGGACGGATGTCTTGCAACATGTCCGGTCGCGGACGGCTTCTCACCTTTGGCTGGACGGACCTCTTGCTTCTTCATTCCGCAAACAGGAAGTTTGCCCTCATGCTATTACCGAGAACAAAAACATTGGTATATACTTATATATACCCTCTCGGATCCTGAAGAAGGACCTGGAAGGCAACTGATTACTGTCGTTGGAGGGTCCATGTAATCTGTGGGGGTACATGCTAACTCTTTCTTGATTCTTCATGCTGACCCTCAATAATCTGAGCGTCTCGGTGCCACCATCCTTTAACTCTGACTCGTTTCCGTTGGAAATTAGGGTGAACTACTTGGGTCTTGCGCGCACGGAAAAGACCGTGTAGAAGAATGAGAAGTGCCTTTTCCTGATCAAGCATCGCCTAGAATATCAATGTGTCATAACAAGAGTTCACAGTTCACTGGATAACCTGCGGTTGATACAATCAAAACATCTGTCACTGTAACTGAACATACTGAACACTCCCACAACGCGTAGGCCTTTGGATGTCTTGTGCAGCACTCTTAGTGCCACCCCCTCCAAAGGGCATCCGACCGACTCGCTAACAGAACTATATACAGTAAATATATATACTATATAAACTGCTCAAGACCAGTTTTCCTCTACAAAGAGTCATGTTACATGTCTGTATAATATACTAGAAGCAGCTTTAAATAACCCACATTGATCCAAGACAAGCGCACGCACTCACTGCTCAATCAAGACAACAAGCACATTAACTCCCCAATCGACCGGTCTTTGCCGGATGTCGACGTCAGTCAAGCAACATGCCAATGATGGCCATCATCGCCAACCGTCCGTTGGCGAGTTCAGCACTGAGCTGCCTGTTCCTGGCAGTTTGTGTCTAACGAAAAGACCAGCATGCAGAGAAGCAAATCGCACAAATCGAATCTGTGTGCAGTCCTCTTGGCAGGATCCTGGATGGAATTGCCAAATCCAACGTTGCCGAGGCCAAAGTTGCCCTTGCCGTAGTTGCCTTGTAAAGCAAGGAAAATCAAGAATCAACAAGCCCTCCGACTCTCTCCAATTCCGGCCTGGCTCAGATGACTTCTTGTTCACAACCAACTCAAGGAAGCCGGCGAAGGCAAGCATCTGAGCCCAGCCCTCCTTGGGCACCACGGAGAGTGCCTCCACAAAAAATGTCTCAGATTTTCAGATCTCCAAAGTAAGACTGCATTACACTCTCCATCTCTATCTCCATCTCTATCTCTAGAGAGAGAGAGAGAGAGCTCTTCATTATTCATTCTTATTCTACGTATGACTTCCTTTACTGCATTAGCTCAACAAGCCTTCAAGCCGTTTGGCACATCGGCGAATTTCAGGTCCATGGATGGGGACAGGTAGCCATCGAACTTGTAGTACTCCGGCACAATGTAGCCTTTCAAATTGTGGAGCTGGGCAACATAAGCCAATATGGCTAACATCTAACACAGTGTCCTTGGTCAAAACGTGTGTGTACCCAAGCAAGACATTCTGAGCTTTATGCCCATGGTGGCGAACATAGCCACACGGCCGTGCTTGATCTCAGTCTCACGGCGCCTCAAACAACACAAAGGCCGGCTGCAGTCTGTACCAGCCAAAGTTGCTGCACTGCAGGGCCGGGCCTCTTGAACACCTCCACATCCTTGTCCTTGGCAAGTCCCAGGGGGTCCCAGAAGCCAAGAGGCGCCTGGTCGCCAATGAGACCCTCA